AGGATTATGGACTACACAACACTGTGTGGTCCGCTTATTGTGCAAAGACCCCCTGGGTTACGTTGTGTAAAGAAATGTTTTGATATCTCTCTTTAAGTTGCTAACGATGCCAGGAAAGAATTCGAGGATGCAGAAACTGCTTCACGGGACACAGAAAGAGAAATCAGGTTTGATAATTTAGTTTTAAAGTGCTGTTCTAAATCGTCATCTTGATGAAAGGAAAAACAAAAAAAACGGCTCAGTAATGTTGTCGATCGTTGATTTGCTTGCTTCTTTCAGTGACCTTGAGAGATTGCTGAACCTAAATCTTGGTCAAGAGGAAGAGTTTTCTCCGCTTCAAGGACAATGTTATGAGTACACAGATAGAGAGTGAGTAAATAATACTATAAAGGTAAAGGTAGTCTGCATACGAACCAAGTGGCTCATCAGGCCGGAGCTTACCCCGGTTTCAATAGCATGAAGCAACCAGGAGCATTTCTACTCCCCCCTGGATGGGATACTAGTCCATCACAGGGTTACCCCCCAGAATGAAATCCGCCGATACCCATTTATACACCTGGTTGGAGAGAGGCGCTGTGGGAGTTAAGTGTCTTGCCTAAGAACACAACACAATGTCCCCGGCCAGGGCTCCGACCCGGACCGTTCGCTCCGGAGTCGAGCGCACTAACCACAAGACCACCGCGCCTCCCATAAATAATACTATGACAGGTCATGTATATAGCTAAGTTTCACCCGAACAAGTACAGAGGAAGATTACATCTTTGACGGACTCCAGTCTATATAAGCAGCAAGGTTCATGTGATAACAAGTCTATTTTGCTTTCGTTATTTTTAGGTATTTGTACAAACTTTGTCCGTTTGACAAAGCTTCTCAGCAACCTAAGGATGGAGGCTCAGAAACTTCACTAGGGTGAGTGATTTGTACAGCAGTAAAAATAGTTACCTCTCCATTCAAACCAGAGTGACTTGAAAATGTACGACTGGATCATATCCCAGTGTCCATAGCGTGAAGCGATTGGGAGTGTTACATCTGAGGAAGCAGCCCCTCTCCCCCCCCCCCCCCCCCCCCCCGAAGAACAGTTCGTGATCGCTGTTACTAAATCATTCTCCTTGAGCATAGAAACATCGTACCTTGCGTAGAAGACGTAAAACGGGAGAGAGATCAGAGGGAGGGATAACGGAGATAGTGTAGAAGTAGGGGGCGAGGGTTCCTTCCCCTTCTTCCTCGCATCTTTCGCCTCCCCTACTTCTTTTCCCGTTTACGCGTGTACCGCAGACTAGAAGTATTGTGAGACTAGTGGCACTGACCTGTGCTCAAATGCGGAGAACATCACGCTAACCAGAACGCTATTTTTATACTGGAGGGCGTATGCATTTATAAATCACAGTCAAAATTCTTGTAAAGGCCTTTAAAAAATCCCTCTAGTTAGAATGGAAGAAATTGTAACACACTTAAATGAACCCTGACTACGAGTAGGCATCGTAATATCAATAGCAAATAAAAAAGATTGCAGTCGTCCTTATCAGAGTTGTCTCATGTTATCTGTATTTTAGCACATGGGGCGAATGGACAGGAGATCCAAACAAGTACAGTCGTATGAAGTATTCTGGAGGACAAGGCTGTTGGAACGGACCTAGCAGATCCGCTGTGGTAAGCTGGAAACATACATGGCTACGAGCTGCTTTTGTTCTTGCTGGGTTTTTTTTAAGTCGTCGCGGAAGTTGCGTTATATTTTTATTCAGTTATCGAGAAAAGAACGCACACCCTTCGAAAGTCATAATACCAGGTACTTACAAGGTCTAAGTGCGCGAGATCTTTAATCTTTAATAAATTATTCGCTTGTTTGAGTCGTTATTAATGCGCGAAAAAGCGCCGAACAAAAGGACGGCAAATAGGACCTGCGCGTTTCATCTTATGTTAACATTCTCGCAGAAGTTATGTGTGTTTGGGAACGTGAACTTAAGAATGTCAAGAATCGCTGTAGATGAATAAAGGAAGAAAAAATGGTTCCTTGGTTTTTCTTCTGGCAGAACACGAAGCATGTAGAGTATAGCGTTCTTCGCAGACATGACATCCTTGTCGCGAAATCTTCCCTCCATGCTCGGCCAAACAGCCTCCAAATTCATTGAATTATATTATCATCCTCTCCTTTGCAGATAAACCTTCGGTGTGGCTCAACGAACGAGCTGTTTCAGGTCTCAGAACCGAGCAGATGTGAATACCTTATGGAATTTAAAACACCCGCTGCTTGTAGGAATGTCGGCGACTCCACCCTTCCACACGAACATGGCGGAGAACTGTGATTTAATATAGGAACCCTTAAATCTGTACAGAATTTCTACTGGAAACAAAATCAAATAGTTATTGTAATAAACTTTTCCGATACGCTAATGATGATGATGATGATGATTAGCGTATGAGTTCTTTAAAGCAAAATTATAAATTTAAACAGGCGAGCCAAGAGATCCGCCCTGGTACCGAATCAAAATTCTTGGAACCAATTCTACAAGCTTTTTTTATGTTGACATCGTGTGATATGCACTTGCACAAATGACAATGGTAGCCGTGTGATCCATATCTAATTGCTTTGTCACTGATCTCTAGGAAGATTGGTGACAGCAATAAATTGTTCACTAGCAAGGCCTTGGTGTCTCATTGTACCATCAAATTTTCCGAAATGTGAATTGTCGAGTATTTCAAGCTTAATATCTCATTAGTTTTGTGTAAGCCGATAAGACAGTTCTCAGAGAAGCCAGATTTCAGCTACCATACGAGTTCACCTTGCAATGCATTGTAATTTTAATAAAATAATTTTCATTTTGCTTGATGTTTTATGAACTTAGTGAAGTGAACCCCCATTAATACAGTCACCAACCTGCCATGAAAATTTGGCCGTAGTAACGGGATCGCCGTATTATCTTGGTAGGGTCAAATTTCATGACTGGTCTAAATTGACGTCTTCACAGATCTATCACAATTGTACTTCTAAATACAACTGTTCACTAATAAGCATCCGGAGTGCAGATATAATTTTAAGAAAATTGAAACTTGTATCAGTACATAAAATATCAGCAATAGGAAGATGAACATTATTAGTTTGAGTAGCTGTATAAACAGGGTAAAATTATAAAAGATTATACAGGTTGGGATTTCAGAATGTAGCCGTTGGCCGTATTAACGGGGTGGCCGCATTAGCGGGTTTTTCTTATAAGAAAATGTATGGGCTTTTCGCCGGGACAGAAAAGTGGTTGTAATAAGGAGGTGACTGTAATTATAAGGCAGGGTTCTACTGTACTCTGGAAAGGTGAGGATCTCAAACCGTCTTTTGTGATCAGATGCCTCAGCGTGAACAAACTTTAATCCAGAAACTCGTCGAATTGCTGTCAACTTGCCACATGTATTAAATTTCCGTGCAAATTTCCGTTCAAGTGACCTCGTAATGCCTCCTTTGAGGCCACTCGACTCTTTGTAAGGAAGAGTGTTGCGTGACTAGTCAAATACTGCTACGAAGACCAGTGCATGACCCATGGATGCAGGGCTTTGTGTGACCCAGAAAACAAGATCCAGTCTTTTTTGTATTTAGTCGTGAGTTCGGATGGCCAGCGGTTGCTGCCCAAATTTCAATATGGCGGCTGAAGTCGCGGACTTTTCTGATCGCACATTTGAGAGAGAAATCGATTGTCATAACGGAATTCTTAGGATAAAGCAAGCTGAAGTAGGTGATGAGAGTTGTGTTGTTTGGGACGCTGCCCTAGTTCTGGCAAAATATTTACAGACACGACACTTGCACTGCTCGAAAGAACTACTTCAAAACAAGCGCGTTATTGAGCTTGGTGCTGGCACTGGAGTAGTTGGACTTATGGCTGCGTCTTGTGGGTAAAGTGCATGTTTATTGTATTAAATACATCAGATCTCGATTTTCTTCATCCCGCATCCAACATCACCACAGGCCTCTAACAACACCATTTTGGTGCCATAATGACGACAACTTACTCATGCGCTACCCCTTGTGCATGTAGCATACCAGGATAGTGATTTCATAACAAAATAAAGGGGTCGATCATCGTTCACATGACAAAAGTTTGATTTTTCCTACCAGAACAAAACTTTCAACTCAGCGTAGCAACCAGGATGAACTCTTTTAAAATGGTGTAGAACTCTTTCTTTTATGACATTTGGCACTACTATCATTTAAATAAACAGAAAATACAAAAGGAAACTGGGGTGGACTTGTGTCAATAAGTCCAACACACACAAGTGTCTGCCTTGTAAAGGAGACCCCATTAAGGGTTTGTCTATTGTTGTACTGTGCACTTTAGAAAAGTGGCTGTTGTAAAGAGTTACCTTAAGGTGCTTCATAAAGAGAGTTTATTGCTTTAGAGAGGTGTCCAGTTTAGATAGATGATGGTGGAAATAATTCTGGGGCCAGACTCACAAAGCTCTTTGTATTTCATTGCAACAATACCTACACGACATCTTTTTGTAAAAAGGTCTTTATGAATTTATCCCCAGAAGTCTACTCTGTGAGTCAACTTTGAACACTTGAACAAATTAAATGTGTGGGTGTTCAGTTCATTTATTGTCAGTTATAGCATCATTAGTGTAATTATTATTTCATTTCAGTGCATGTGTGTACTGTACTGACTTACCAGAAGTTGTACCTCTCATTGAATTAAACAGCAATATCAATCAAAATATGATAACTGGAACTTTTGTGGCAAAGTCATTAAAGTGGTATGTATGGTATCTGTATGTTTCCCATGCAATCCATAATTTGCAATCCATTGTGACAGACTTTTTACAATAATATTTTTTGTCATTAAAAATGTTTTTCAAGCCAGCGTGACACAAAGACTACAGTACAACCGTAATGGCGGAACAGCCTTGGAGTCAACCAAATGTAAAAATGAAATGAACCCCACCCTCATTCAACCATCCTAATCGCAATCCTACAAGCTTTGCAACTCCCAAAATGAAAAATACCCTCATACAACTTGGTAGACATTTCAATCTATTATTATAAAATTTGCAATTTTTATCACAATGGTCTTGTCAATTAAGCCTAAGTGTATCAAAGTAACTGTGCAGCTCAAATCTGATTTGCAAGTAAAATTCTGTTATTTTGTATTGTAGGGGACAAGATGTGTCTGCTTTTCAGCCTTCTCCAGATCTACTTTTAGTTGCTGATTGCATTTATTATGAAGAGGTGAGAAAGTTGACAGGAATATAACATTAATGTTGAAAGAAAAAGCACATAAAAATAGCTTAGAAAAAGCTTTGGCCAAGATTTAGGTCTTAACATATAATTCTCTTGAAAAAAAAAATGACGTAGAAACTGTACACTGCGAACAGGCTTCATGCAAGGGTGGAAAAAAAACTGGTATTAAAGCTTAGTGAGTCAATGAGCTTGAAAAAATTAGGGAGCAAAGCAAGCTGAGCCATTTTTACTTACCAGACTGCTCTTGGCTTGCTTGGTTTGCTCCACTCTCCTCTTTTGTCACCCAATCAAGAGCCTTTTCATAGGCTACAGAAATGTTTTGACAAGGTTCCATGAATTATATGTTGTTATAACTGATAGTTCTAAATAGCGCAAGATGTAGTAAAATAATGACGAGAATTAGTGATGCAAAGAAAAAAAAAATTCCAGCAGATGTGATGTCAAGACTTTGGCAACGCCAAATCTTGTTGTGAAAGGAAAACATGTAAAATCACTACCGGATATGGGCAAACTTCAAAATTGCAGCTGTATCAATTGTTTTTATCCAGGTTAAGGTCTTTGTACGATGTTTTATTACACAGACACTCGACGTATATCTGTGCGTATTGCGTAGTTTGGTTGATTAAGTAGTTTAATTGTTCAAGTCCTTAGAACCTCTTGTGGCGACCCTTTGTGATCTGAGTGATGTCAATACAACTGTGTTAATAAGCTACGAGGAACGAACAACTGGCAATAAACCAATGCTGGAGAAAAAGTTCCATCAGGTAAAGTCATTTCACTACACATTGTAGCTTGTTATAGTCAAACCAAGTGAAGCGTACCCCTCAAGATTACCTAAATGAATTGATTATTTGAATATTGAACCCACTAGTCATTCCAGGATTACGGCTAATGGGTTTAATGTTGAAAAAAAAAAAATTTAATATTGATTTTTGAAATGATTAGCGAGTTCAATATTAAAATAATCAATTCATTATTGTATTCTTGAAACGAGTAGCTGGTTCAATATTCAATTAATCAATTCATTAATGTGATCTCAAGGGGTTTGACTATAACTTGCCTTTGTCACGTTTGTTGTCACGTTTGTTTCACGTTCGTCTCACAACTAGGCGCCATACCAAACGCATCTTAAAAAATTTAGCGTAGATTTATCAAGCAGGCCATTTATAATCCATCTCCATGCAATCTTTTCCTCTCATAACCGTTTTTGTTTCCAGTATGTGGCTTAAATTTGAGCCTTTTACTTTGTTATCTTACTCCCAAANAAGTCCTTAGAACCTCTTGTGGCGACCCTTTGTGATCTGAGTGATGTCAATACAACTGTGTTAATAAGCTACGAGGAACGAACAACTGGCAATAAACCAATGCTGGAGAAAAAGTTCCATCAGGTAAAGTCACTTCACTACACATTGTAGCTTGTTATAGTCAAACCAAGTGAAGTGTACCCCTCAAGATTACATTAATGAATTGATTATTTGAATATTGAACCCGCTAGTTGTTCCAGGATTATGGCTAATGGGTTTAATGTTGAAAAAAAAAAAAACAATTTAATATTGATTTTTGAAATACTAGCAAGTTCAGTATTCATATAATCAATTCATTGTTGCATTCTTGAAACAAGTAGCAGATTCAATATTCAATTAATCAATTCATTAATGTAATCTCGAGGGCTACGCTTCAGTTGGTTTGACTGTAACTTGCTTTTGTCACGTTTGTTGTCACGTTTGTTTCACGTTCATCTCACAACTAGGCGCCATACCAAACATATCTTAAAAAATTTAGCGTAGATGTATCAAGCAGGCCATTTATAATTCATCTCCATGCAATCTTTTCCTCTCATAACCGTTTTTGTTTCCAGTATGTGGCTTAAATTTGAGCCTTTTACTTTGTTATCTTACTCCCAAAAGAGGTGCTACATGGACAGCTTGATTCCGACATCTCTCTCAGCACTAAGCGATAATAATTATCTCCTCAGAGCTTTATTGTCTAGCTCTCTGCACGCACTGCAGGCCTATGATGAGGGAGCATCATGGGCCTGCAGTGCGTGCAGAGAGCTAGATAATAAAGCTCTGAGGAGATAATATTAGAGACAACTGAAACTCAGCAGAATTCAGACAGACAATGGTCTAGAGCCAGACCACATGTATCAGATATTTAGATTACACTTATGTCCAAAAGCAATAATCCAATCTCAGCCATTCTTTGTTCATATACTTTACGGAAAACATATCAGTTTTTTTTTTTCTTTTTATTTATCAGCTTGTGAGAGAGCACTTTACAGTGGAAGAAATCCCAGAGGAACAACAAGACCCAGTCTACCACAGTCCAGATATACACCTTATGAAGCTGAAAAGAAAGATTGGAAAAAGCTCTGACCAATCAGAGTAAACGCGCTGTTCCTTCAACCAATCGGGAACAAAATCAAAACCAAGCGTGAACGCGTCACTTGACTAGTGCGTGTTTCCCGCGCTTGGCACGGGATTTATGTGATTGCTTCGAGTTCTGATTGACTCAATGTGCTAGTTGCGTTTGTTGTGATTGGCTATTTCATGACAGGCATTAGGAAACCACTATAAAAAGATGAACAATTCGGTAGCCCATGTACAGTCGTCCACTCGGCACTTCGGGATCACGGAACTTCGTAAAGCAAGGCGGACATACGTGATATTTGAAGCATGACTAGAGAAAAAAAAAGTGGTAGATCAATATACCTGACTAGTTGCGCATAGCTCCGTTCTGTAGCACGAAGAAAGTCAGTACAAGTTGCAGAAACTAAGAGTTTGCGTTTGAGAGTTAACATATTCGCCAGTGACAACTTATCTTAAAACTTACAACAGAGATACAGACGGACGACATCACCAACAAATAAAAGTAGATTTTAAGACTTAACATGAGTGGATATTCTGCTCTCGGTACTCTCTCTACAGATGAAAGTTTCGAAACCGTTACTTAACTTTCGTTTTGGAAAACGACACCCACCTTAGTTTGGCGCCACCCTGGATGGCGCCTTTTTGAATGTCCCGAGTCATCATCAATGGACAGAATGAATAACTGTACCTTACCATGACCAAGTGAATAACGTATTAAATGTGAATTCTGTCTGGTGTACATGCAGCAAACGAACTGAACGCAACTGATCGTTTCCGTGGTGAACTTCCAAACAAATGCATCTTTGGCGTTTGTGACGGTTTGATGATGTTGGCTCGTGCATGCCGACTCAAATTGAGCGCGCGCTAGGAAAGATTTCTACAATCCGATCTGTATTTTTTTACTTTTATTATTATTAATGTCATTATTAATGTCAAGACACATTAATAAAGTTTATGTCTGTATTAATTTCTGTTCTGAATTTTCGGAAGGCTCGATTTCTGCACCCCCCCCCCCCCCCCCCCCGCCTAAATTTTCGGTGGCTGCTGTCCACCTTCACCAGAGTTACAATCTTAATGTTCGTTATTGCTCGCGCTACAAGCCCGTTTCCTGTTCTTTAACGTTTTTTTGTTTGTTTGTTTTTTGTTGTTTTTTCTCTCTTTCTCTTCTTTTTTGGTGTGGGCTGAGCCTGAGAGAGGGGGTGGGCGGGGGGTCTTTCTTTACCTCAGTTTCTTTTACCCGTCGCTGAACTAATTAGATCTCGGGGCGTGGCAAAATGTTTGGACTTTTCAAGAGTCTGAGTATGTCTGAGAGGCACGTGGCGGGTGTATTAAACATGGAGTTTTTAATTTCTTTCCAGCCCACCTCCTGTGTTAGTAATTAATTATCCCAATAGCATCTTACAGCACGTGTTATAATTTTAGTTAAGTGTAATGAAATTGTTGTGTTTAGTAAATTATTAAGAGTTTGGGAATCAGGACGGATAGTTTGGAGTACTGAACAATAGAACAATACGTCACTTTTCGTTTTGTGTATTTGAGGCAAGCTGGTTTCCCACACCATGACACGCGTCACTGCGGCTGTCACTAAACGCGAGTAGAAGGGTTAGGAATTTGCATGAAGACAGGCCCTGTCTGAAATTGGTGATCTCTCAATTTCTTGAAGAGTTTTTCAGAGCTTTGCACTTGCGTGGGAAACAACGTGGTTAGAAGGGACGGTATGATTTGTATTATACAACGTACGTACTTGTGAATCAGTACCGCTGTGCAGGAGGAGTAGGCTCAGTTGCTAATCTAAATGTAAATTTTTGAACTGGTCGAGAATTTAGGATTTTGAGCGGAAAATCTAAATACGGAAACGAATGAATTACTCAAGGACCCCAGATCCCTTTACCACAGATAATAAATTTACTTGGGATTGAACAACGCAGGTCTAAGACCACCATGGATAAATATAGTAAACTTGTTGTGGGGATCAAAGTTGACATCCAACGAACCGACGGTAGGTGAAGTCTTACTCAATGTATCTCAGATATATTTGCAACAAGTTTTTGTCCTTCACCAAGACTCTTTTTTTTAATGTAGACCCATGACTGCGTATTTCTTCTGTGAGAAGATTAAGTCTAACTACGTTGATTTCGTTCAGAGCTTTGTCATATTCAGTTGTGACAAGGCTCGGGTGGGAGTAACTGAAATAATTTGTTGATCGTCGATGTCCGCCGGTCGGTCTTCCGTATAAACATCAAATATCTTTTACTTAGTTCCCTAGTTACGGGACTTTAATTATTTTGTTTAAAACGTAGATTTGATGTGTCAGACAAGTTGTAAATCTTGGCGAGGTTTCGAACTTAAATTATCGCCCAGACGTACGAAATATTAACTACTTTAGGACAAGCAGTCGCAATAAAATAGACATGTGTGCATTCATTAAGGCGTACAATAGTTAGACGATGATAGGCCTTCATTCAGATTTGGAATATCTTTTAAATTCTGTCAAAGTCATCACTCTAAATAGACTAAGAAACAAAGCCTCTTGATTTCAATTTTTAAGATTTAATATTGCCTATTATGAGACAAATGTGAGTCAAACCTCTTTCCTATCAAATGGATTTTACATTCAGCCACATGTGGCTTAATTTATTTACATTGTATCGATCTTTTACTTTGTTTGTCATATTTATTGCATCAGTTATAAATGAAGTCCGCAAACTGAACGAGATCTTATCTAAACCATATCTTATCATGTTTGTTTGGCTTTGTCATGTTGCTCTGAGATATATTAATTTTACTGGAATCGAGGTTTATTCCTTTTGTTGATTATTTTTATCAGTATTCGGGCAGAGTTATGGAGATGAGGCCATCGGAAATGCAATTTTTAAAGAGGCAATATCATGATAGCGTGGCATATGTATCTCAAACTTGGAAAGGTCAGCTGGACATTTTCAAGCTTGAGACATGAAATAGAATAATTTATTATATGGCTTGTGTTTGTAGCTGATCTAACGCACGCTCAGTTTGGCCAATTCTGGGGAATTATTCTCCCGAAATGCCCAGAGGCCGATTATAGGACTGCAAAACCAAAGCAAAAAGCCATGTAATAAACAACTTATTAACCTCACACGTTCAGTGTTTATGGGAAAATCACAAACCTTGGCCTTGTTGTATTGATCTCGCTATCACTCAGTCAATACGGCAAGGTCTCGGTTTGAGATTTTCCCATAATGACCTCACTCTTGGTTAATAAGTACTTATTATTAAAAATAATATGATTATTTTACTGTAAATTAACTTTTTCATTGTGCATGTAGGCCGTATCCACTCATCTATGATTAGTGGCGTAAACCTGGACACCAAGAGTGTTACAGTAGAGTGGTATGAGAATGGAGAAACCAAAGGGAAAGAGGTAAAAAAATAATTCATTTCAATAGGGCTAATTTTCCTCCCATAGCAACACCAGCATAATATTTACTAAATTCCAGTTTAGTGATCTAGATGATATGGAGAGCCTAGTATATGAATGCAACCAGCTATGGCTGATGTAGCTTCAATTTTCTTTCACGTGGATAAGCACTGATATTGAACATTAAGACATTAAAGTACGTGTGATCAATGCTGTATTTTGTTTGTTTAATGCAGATTGAAGTCGACCAGATCTTTGCACTTAATCCAACTCTTGTAGTTCAGCCAAAACAAAAACCCACTCCATCAAATAAAAGGATATCTACTACACCAACTAACAAGGTATGTTGAAATTAGTTGTTAATAATTATTAACCAAAGAAGCATTAAATATTTTTTTCAATTGGTTGATTAAGAGCTACATTGCCAAATGAATATAGATCTGAAGTTAATATTTTTCAATTATATTACATGTAAGTATACACCATCATGAAGAATCCCCAGTAGCATGGAGGTAATTAACTTGATGTGTGTATAGTATTTTGTACCTATCTTCATGAAATGTAAGCCAATAAGCAAGAAGACGACTCAAGAGAAGTTAGTTGACTCAGGTGCAATACTCTGGCGAGACTCTTGAAACAAACACCGTGTAACAAATTAAAACTTTGTTTTGAAGCCCCACTGAACTTTGTAACTTTTTTCCTTTTCTGTTCTTTAGAATGCAAGAAATGAAAATCACAGTGCTCCTTCACCTAAAGTTCATCCACCATCAGGTTGTTGTTTTTTCATGTCATCTCAAACTTACATGTATTTAAAGCAAATTAATAAACAATTTTCAACTGTTTGTAATAACCTTGTCAGTGATGACTCATTTACTGGCTTGCAGCCAAAGTTGAACGTCCCGTGGCACTCAACCTTGCTAATGATGATGATGGTGACTCACGTGGGGACGCTGCACAAATAAAGGAGAGCGCAGAGTCTTATCCAGGTAATGAATGTTCAGTTTATCAGCTACAGGTCAGTAAATGGCATGTATATGTACATTGTACTTCCAGTTCTTGAAAGTTTTTTTTTTCTGTTTGAGAGGAAGAGATGTACTACATGTTCACTTTTAGTGTGTGTCGCTTACTTCATTGCTACTGAAAATCTGCATGTACATCAATGATTTATTTGCATTAATTATGTGTGTGGCTTTTAATTACAAGCATTCATCTTGCTGATGACCTATTAGTAGAGGAGTTACATTGTATACAGATTCCTGACTGAATTTTAAACCTTTTCATGTCCAGTTTTGGAAGGTCTTCATATCATTGTTGGAATTACTACAGCAGTAAAATTTCATCACTTCAGCGGCCTCCATGTGACAGTTTCAGTGCTTTGTACTATGTTAAATTTACTGGGCCTTGTTATCTTTTTTATTTTTTTTTTCCAGTGAACAGAAGACGCTCTAATTGTGTAAAGGAAATTGAGCGTTTAAAAAAGAATCGAGAAGAAAGAAGGTAAACACTGTTGTTATGAGCAAAATGTTAAAATAATGTTCAGTAAAAAATTTGTTTGTGATCGGTATCTTGTTCTTAAATTAGCAGCTGTGCAGGATTGCTTAATAACTAGACTTGTAAGTGCTCTTGAAATCATTGACTTGTGCGATGACCTGTTTATGGTATCCACAGGGCGCAACAACAAGAGCAAAGGGAAATGAAACTGCGTCTTCAACAAGAAGTGGATCCTGGAAATCCAAACTGGGAATTTATACAAATGATAAGGTATGTTATAATTGTGGATAGTTTAATATCAGTCTTTGTGGTTAAACTGTGGTTTTAATAGTTTTGCTTGATCCAATGAGTACTCAGACTGCCTACAGGACATTGAAATGTAAAAGTTATTTATTGTAAAAATTGTTTTTATAATTAAATAATATTTTTTTTAATTTCAATTTATAGGGAGTATCAAGCAGATTTAGATTTTAAAGGGCTGACAATGTCGGACCCGGTAAGTATTTCATGTTGTAATTTCCTGAACATCCTGACGGCGTGGTCTGCCGTGAATCTGTTCACTTCATTGAATCCTGAAATTGATCTCCTATGATCATTTGTAAAGTGTATACCAACTCTTACATAAATTATTAATTTTAATTTTTAACTTACATTTTTCATGTACATTTTGTTTTTTGATTAGGTGATAGACCACCAGATTTGTGTATGTGTCCGTAAACGACCACTGTCCAAGAAAGGTACGTGTTTATACTTGTCTGTTTATTATTGATCATTCCAACCTTATATCAGATAGTTCGTTCAATCCAAGTATTGCAATTCCATATTTGTTGTTCTTTGTTTTGGTGATGAGGGCAGCAGCAAAAACCCACTGATTTTAATAAGGATCTTGAGTTATGTAATTGCAGTAGAGCGGTTTTCAATTGAGTGTCGTAAAACCAAAATCACACTAATGACTCTAACCAATCACAAATGACATGCACAGACAATCCA